CCGCTGGCCTAACCCAGACATTTTCCCTAAAACTACCCATTACTGGTCTATAGTTAACACTAACCTGAACCAGAACTTAATTCACCCATACCTCTAAACCTAACTAGTAAAGCACAGCAGAGCTGCAAACAAAGTGAGAACTTTGAAGAGGTCCTCACTTTACATCAAATACCTCACTTTGATAGTAACTATGGTGCAAATAGTCCTAACTCAGTAGTAAAAACAAGTACACACACACACACACACACACACACACACATGACTCACCTCAGCCTCTCTGGAGGACATAAACTTGAGGACAACATGCTTCAGATACTCAAAGTTGATTTCTCTGCAGTCATTGAGGTCAGAGGTGTTGGTCACGGTGGTGTTGGAGGTCGGGGGGCTCGGTGAAGATGCTGGAGGGGGGTCTGGATTCAAACTCTCTTGTTTTTCTGCCCGACTTTCTGGTGACTTTTCCTTCCCTTCAGCTTCTGTCTCAGGCTTTATTTTCTTGAACAGAAAGGACAGATACAAAACTACACTGATGTCCAGAGAAAAACAACTCATATCAGGCTTGAGCCTGATTTAAGCTCAATAAAAAGCTCCATTCTCACGTCTCGCTGATGAAAATTGTGTAGTTTGCTACTCGTACCACCCACTGACACCCCGCCTGGTGCATTGACTCCAGTCAGAACTAGTTCTCTCAGCACTAAGCAAAGACAAATTAATAATGGTTTTATGTTAATATGTTGGTYAATTTYAAGTTTGACTTTGACTCAGAAAAGGTMATTGCTTCATAAACCCCTGTGTGAGTGTGTGTGTTTTATTTGTTTATTTTTTAAAGTACTGATTTAAATACAGTTTAGGAACCAGTACCATTTTGAAAGTATCAATTTAAACCCTTTCGATACCCAACCCTAATCCTGCAGTGGGAAGAGGAATCCTCGCCTGCAGTTTCAGTCCACATCAGTGAGCTCCTGTCTTACATTTTGTTCAAGTATAACCAGACCTTTATACTTTTCATTATGCACACATTTTCAAATAAGATTTAAATCAAGTTCTCACCAGCTCTTTCTGCAGAGTTCTCTTCAACTCTGCCAGTCTCTGCTGCAGCTGCTTGATGGTCTGCAAAACAACACAAGAGGTTTATATTTGAGGTTGGCCTTTAGTTGCAGAGTGAAACCTAGATGAAGAGCAGAATGTGGATTAAAGTCATGTCTGACCCTGTTCTTGTCACTGAGCTGCTGTTCCAGCTCTCTGTTGACCCTCTGAACGTGATCCAGGTCGTCCACCGTCACGCTGCCGTTCTGACCCTCTTCACAAACCTCAGGGCTGTGAAGCTGTTCGGTCAGGGTTTCCACCTCCACCTCCAGATAAGAAATCTGTAGAATGAACACCAGAAGGTTTGAGTATAAAGCATCAGCTGGATGAGATGGTGTTTAAAGGTTGTAGGCAGCGTGCTGACCCGTGCCTGGCAGCTGTCCAGCTGCTGTGTCTGATCCAGCAGCTCCTCTCTCAGGCTCCTCAGCTGGGACTCTTTGCTGAGCTCCACCTGCTGCAGCTGACCTCTCAGCTGCTCAGTCTCCTCCTGCAGCCGGCCCACAGRGTCCTGCCTACTCTGCAACTCTGCATCATCAGCACAGCAGARACAGCAGATGAGGGAATACCTTTTGTTTTCCACCATACTCTTTTAGACAGACCTCATCTACCAGATCACAGTTAAACTGTGATATCTGATGAAATTAAAAGGCAAAATCAGAATTCTCCTTAAAGTGTAACTTACCCCCCTGTGAAAAGATAACTCCGCCCCAAGGCGAAATTTGAAAAATGCGTCAAAGTGGGTAGGGGAGGGGGTGTGGGTGGGTGAGGGGGGTTAGAGAGCGGAGGTGTGGCCAGGACGAGAGAACGTGACAGCTAGCATTAGCAT